AAACAGTCTGTGTGTTCCATCTTTTGGACATTCATCATATCGCATTGGTTTTCATTTCTTGTCCTCAAAACAGAGCACTAATCTGTTTATTTTTAAGTTACACATTGATTAAAAAAGAAAGTGAAATATGTTGGTAGATTATTTTATACGGAAATCAATTATTTATAATTCTGATGAGAATAAAGTTAGGGTTAATTAAAATTAAGGAAAACAAATGTATTGATCTGAAATATAGCAAATTAATTTTAAATTCATTCAGGTACAATTACCAAACATATCTCATATCTATCTTTTTATTAGTTTAATTAATAAACCAATTATATAAAACTATTATCAGTGCACTATAAATAAACTGGTTCTATGCCTTTATTAATAAAACTTATTTAAAAAATACAAGGCTTAAGACATTTATAAAAATGCCTAATATATTTCTGTTTTGCTTTTTACTCCATTGTACCGAAATCGTACCGAACCGTGATGTCTCAAAAAAGAAATCAAGCAGGGGGCACGTACGATCACAACCCCCCTCACCCCCGTCCCGCCGCGCCACTGTCACCTTTTTTACTCTGAGGAGTTTGCAGGTCTGATTGTGAATTTAGACTTATGTTTACATTCGATTATTTGAGTTTTCCATGGTTGTGTTGACATTTCTGTCTTGGGATTGTAATCAGAGGAAGGGTAAGTTTAAAATAAAAATGTTTAAATGTAATATATTTTTTCTCCTGGTCCTTATTTTAAATGGGTCATAAAAAAATCAATAATTATCGATATCGACCGATATGAAACACTGATATCGTGATACAGTTTTCAGCCATATCGCCCAGCCCTAGCTACGATGCTCTGCGATAGACCCCGATGGGCTACGATGCTCTGCGATAGACCCCGATGGGCTACGATGCTCTGCGATAGACCCCGATTGGCTACGATGCTCTGCGATAGACCCCGATTGGCTACGATGCTCTGTGATAGACCCTGATTGGCTACGATGCTCTGCGATAGACCCCGATTGGCTACGATGCTCTGTGATAGACCCCGATTGGCTACGATGCTCTGTGACTGCGATAGACCCCGATTGGCTACGATGCTCTGTGACTGCGATAGACCCCGATTGGCTACGATGCTCTGCGATAGACCCCGATTGGCTACGATGCTCTGCGATAGACCCTGATTGGCTACGATGCTCTGTGATAGACCCTGATTGGCTACGATGCTCTGCGATAGACCCCGATTGGCTACGATGCTCTGCGATAGACCCCGATTGGCTACGATGCTCTGTGACTGCGATAGACCCCGATTGGCTACGATGCTCTGCGATAGACCCCGATTGGCTACGATGCTCTGCGATAGACCCCGATTGGCTACGATGCTCTGCGATAGACCCCGATTGGCTACGATGCTCTGCGATAGACCCCGATTGGCTACGATGCTCTGCGATAGACCCCGATGGGCTACGATGCTCTGCGATAGACCCCGATGGGCTACGATGCTCTGCGATAGACCCCGATTGGCTACGATGCTCTGCGATAGACCCTGATTGGCTACGATGCTCTGCGATAGACCCCGATTGGCTACGATGCTCTGCGATAGACCCTGATTGGCTACGATGCTCTGTGATAGACCCTGATTGGCTACGATTAGTGATCGACCGATATTGATTTTTATAACCGATACCGATACCGATTATTTGCATGTTTATGTGCCCGATAACCGATATGCAGAACCGATATTTATTTATTGTTATACTTCTATTTTTGACAATTATTACAACACAAATGAACTGGACAAACCATTTTATTTATAACAATCACTCCCTCCTTGCATACAAAAAAAAAAAAAGTAAAAAAAAAAAAACATAAAACATAAAATAAAGTGCACTGTTACAAGTGTCTTTGTTTAAAAATAAAAGCTTTGATGAGGTAAAAAATAAAGCACAAAAATTATTCTAACATATTGGGGGGAAAAAATCTAAATTACCTGGTTTTTTTTTTTTTTGCATAGCTATTTTAGTAGTGTAACTTTATTATTGCATTATATAATTTATATCTAAATTATACATATAATTTATAAGCATCAGCAGCAACAATGTTAACAATTGGCAAAATAAATTTTAAAAGTCTAATGTTTTCATATGGAGAAAATAATTGACAGGGGAGTCATATCACCTTTGCAGAAATGTAATTCATTTTAAACTGTTTTAGAAGGTTTATGTGCCGTTTAATAGGTTTAAAGAATGAGGAATAATTCACTGGGTAATATTAATTCACTGAATAACATTAGCTATAACATTGTCAGGAAAGTAACAAACAAAACAGCATATACATCATTTCATTTTCCAACTCGTATGTTATTAAATAATTAATAATATTTTTGTCGGTCTAGATCATGAAATGCTTTCTGACAAAGTGCTGTTTATCTATGCATTTACACAGAACTATAACTTAGGCTACTCAACCGCGATCGCGCGTGCAGATAATAAATAATTAATTTCCACAAAGCGGTATATTTAGATGTGAATTAGCGAAATAATTGCTATGTAGTAAATGATCATATAGCCTAATCTAGGGTGTTTAAACAAGATAATCTTGTCAAAAGTTTCATTCAGTGGCCGTGCTTTAACATTCCTGATCATCAACCCAGTGAGTGCTCAGCAATATGAACGAACTTTTTTTCCGAGACTAATGGTGAGCAAATACAACAGATAGAGAATTAAATTCAGCGCTTTTATTTTCAACATGCACTCATTCATGTCTGTTTTATTTAATTCATGTAAAGTTACGTCTTTATTGGGGCAGGACATGACGGATTACGCTACGTGACTCCATGAGTTCGTCTGAATTTTTTAGAACCAAGCTGCATAAATAAACTATATCAGGCATTTATGTCTCAAATCTCATTTCTGCATGCCTGTTATGTTAAATAAAGTTGAATAATTAAAGCAAAGCAAGTAGAACATATACTTACCTGTGCACAGAGTTGTTGTTGACTGATCTCCTCAGACGCGGGCTGCAATGGCGGAATTCTCAAAACGGCCACAAGATGGCGCCATTAATCGGCGAATCCGATATTACAAAACCGATACCCGATTATGGGAAAATGCTTAAATATCGGGAAAAATATCGGTAAACCGATACATCGGTCGATCACTAGCTACGATGCTCTGCGATAGACCCCGATTGGCTACGATGCTCTGCGATAGACCCCGATTGGCTACGATGCTCTGCGATAGACCCCGATTGGCTACGATGCTCTGCGATAGACCCCGATTGGCTACGATGCTCTGCGATAGACCCCGATTGGCTACGATGCTCTGCGATAGACCCCGATTGGCTACGATGCTCTGCGATAGACCCTGATTGGCTACGATGCTCTGCGATAGACCCCGATTGGCTACGATGCTCTGCGATAGACCCCGATTGGCTACGATGCTCTGTGATAGACCCTGATTGGCTACGATGCTCTGCGATAGACCCTGATTGGCTACGATGCTCTGCGATAGACCCCGATTGGCTACGATGCTCTGCGATAGACCCCGATTGGCTACGATGCTCTGTGATAGACCCTGATTGGCTACGATGCTCTGCGATAGACCCCGATTGGCTACGATGCTCTGCGATAGACCCTGATTGGCTACGATGCTCTGCGATAGACCCCGATTGGCTACGATGCTCTGCGATAGACCCCGATTGGCTACGATGCTCTGTGATAGACCCCGATTGGCTACGATGCTCTGCGATAGACCCTGATTGGCTACGATGCTCTGCGATAGACCCCGATTGGCTACGATGCTCTGCGATAGACCCCGATTGGCTACGATGCTCTGCGATAGACCCTGATTGGCTACGATGCTCTGCGATAGACCCCGATTGGCTACGATGCTCTGCGATAGACCCTGATTGGCTACGATGCTCTGCGATAGACCCCGATTGGCTACGATGCTCTGCGATAGACCCTGATTGGCTACGATGCTCTGCGATAGACCCCGATTGGCTACGATGCTCTGCGATAGACCCCGATTGGCTACGATGCTCTGTGATAGACCCTGATTGGCTACGATGCTCTGTGATAGACCCCGATTGGCTACGATGCTCTGCGATAGACCCTGATTGGCTACGATGCTCTGCGATAGACCCCGATTGGCTACGATGCTCTGCGATAGACCCCGATTGGCTACGATGCTCTGCGATAGACCCTGATTGGCTACGATGCTCTGCGATAGACCCCGATTGGCTACGATGCTCTGCGATAGACCCCGATTGGCTACGATGCTCTGCGATAGACCCCGATTGGCTACGATGCTCTGCGATAGACCCTGATTGGCTACGATGCTCTGCGATAGACCCCGATTGGCTACGATGCTCTGCGATAGACCCCGATTGGCTACGATGCTCTGCGATAGACCCTGATTGGCTACGAAGCTCTGCAATAGACCCTGATTGGCTACGATGCTCTGCGATAGACCCTGATTGGCTACGATGCTCTGCGATAGACCCCGATTGGCTACGATGCTCTGCGATAGACCCCGATTGGCTACGATGCTCTGCGATAGACCCCGATGCTCTGCGATAGACCCCGATTGGCTACGATGCTCTGCGATAGACCCTGATTGGCTACGATGCTCTGCGATAGACCCCGATTGGCTACGATGCTCTGTGATAGACCCTGATTGGCTACGATGCTCTGCGATAGACCCCGATTGGCTACGATGCTCTGTGATAGACCCTGATTGGCTACGATGCTCTGCGATAGACCCTGATTGGCTACGATGCTCTGCGATAGACCCTGATTGGCTACGATGCTCTGCGATAGACCCTGATTGGCTACGATGCTCTGCGATAGACCCCGATTGGCTACGATGCTCACCGTTAAACGACAGGAGCGTCTGAAAGCAGCTGCAAAACTCATGAAAAACTTTAGAAAACTAGGCTAAACTTTATATCTTCAGAACAACTGCGATAATATCTCTCTTCTGTAATGTTAACCCAGCGATCATATAACCTCACCTTTATAACCGCCCTTCCTCGCCATCCTCCTGTTCCTCAGTCAGCTGCAATTCTACAGGGAGAGAGAAAATCTGCAGTTAAACAAGTGACATTGTGTTTAATGTTTCCACTTTAAATCTCAAAACAGGAACGCAGAGGAACATTTAGTCAGTATTTGCATTTGCTAGTATCTCAGAAGTGAAGCGATGAAAAGAGAAACCGTGATCCGTCAGAGAACCTGTCGCCTAACCCTTAGTAATAAAAAATTACATTTGTACATAAATGCACATTTTACATTTATAACAATATTACCCAATAATGTAATCCAGTTGTTGGAGTCTAGAAAGTGAAGCCACCGGAAGGAAGAACCATTTCAAATCACTAACATACAATTTTGCATGTTTTCCAAACAACATCTTACAACAATACATGCGAATATTACAGAATATTGGAAATAATCCTGATGACACTGATTTGAGTTCCTTTCTATATCTTTGAATCAAAGGAAGATAAACTCCACATCTGCATATCTCTAACCTTCATCTCTAATTTACTGTCATTTTAAAAGCGCGAGACCTTTAAATTCGCTGTCAGTGTTTTATCTTTCGAAAATCAGTAGAGCAGTGAAGTCTCTCAGCCAGACTCTCTCTGTGAGCGCAATAACCATAAGAATCCCTTTCTCAGGAAAAAGAAACTTAAACTATGCAAACACGCACACACTCGGACTCGCGCACACGCCCGTCTCTGCGTCACACACACCTATCTCTGCGTCACACACACACCTGTGTGCCGTCGAACAGGTGAGGCCGCATTCAGCGCTATATTTACACCCAGAGGAACACGAACACTGTTTACCAAAGAGGTGAAGCCCAGCATCAGAATCTGTGACGCAATCAGTATCCCAGCAGTGAGCGGGAACTATTCCGGTCCGGATCCGGTCCCGCGGAACAGGCGAAACCGAGCCAGAAGATCCTGAATCTCTGATCCCTGAGGCGGGAAGCGCGGTGACGTGGCACTGCACACGCCACATCTACAGCTGTGACCGATGATTGACAGGTGTCAAAACAATCACTGCACGCGGATCCTTCAGTGAAGCTTCTGAAACTCTGTTTATGTTCTAGTTCCCTCATCACTGATGGCCTTTAATCACACATCTGGATGTATTCGTGCTAAAACAAATATTATTCTCCTTCCATTTAAATTTCATTCTTCAGTAGATCGAACGAGGTTATAATAACGCGCGGGATTCGAGGAGCGCGTTCATATTATCAATAATATCGCGGCTCGCGCGACGCATATGTGGCAGTATCTTAGCAACGCCTCCGCTAGCCGCTGAGCTACTGTATGCTAACCGAGAGAAACACACACCAATGACGAGCAGATGATCACTTTCGCTGCTATTTACATTCCAAACGTGTGAAAGCTGGTGTTCGCGTTGCGTGACGGACGACAGACGCGTCCGATCGCGAGACTGATGAGGGGAAACCCTTACCTGAACGACCTGCAGGAGTCTGTGGCGCACACACATGCAGTGTGTGTTCCTTTATTGGACTTGTCTGCGATCGCTTATGTACGAACGTCTGTCTTTTCTTCCAGCCGGCTCATGCGTCACTTCCGCTCAGCCAGCGCGCGCCCCACAGTCACTTCCGGCCTGGTTTATATCCGTGCGCGCGACTGAGCCACTAATGCCATCGAGGTTCATTAAAACTAAAAGTTCAATATTGATCTAACAGGAGGTAGATGTTGACAGTTAGCCCTGCAGAATAAACATGTATGAGCTGAGGAGCCGTTACTGTAGAAAACTCTTACTAACATCATGTTTGACGTGTATAACTGTAATATTGTAGAACAAACTGCAGGACTCATACATCTTAAAGGAGCCATAGGACATGTCTCTCTTTATTGAACACCAAGAATAAAAACGAAATGTACATTAATGGCATTGATAAATGCAGATAAACAAGTATTAAGCTGGGAACATATCAGTATAAAAATATAAAGAAAATTACATATATTTGAAGGAAAAAGAAAGAAAGAAGGGGTCTCTTATTATTCCAACAAATTTCTGGGCCTTTTTATTTTCATACATTACAATGATGGAAAGTCATTACAAATAAGGCTCTTTTGAATACAGAAAAATAAGGTTTCGTCTTTATACATCTGCATTTATGAATGAATCATCCGACAGCTTCTGGGGTCGCGACGGGATCGGCATGTTGGCAGAAGGTATTATATGGGTGAATAACTTCTCTATCTTTATACAACTTTTTGGAATGGCATTTAAAACAGTTTGCGCTCACATTGCAAATCATATTTAGTACAGAAGTCTCTTCCACCCATAATGAAGAATTGAGCAAACGCTTCCAGCCGATCGGGACCCGATCTGCACATCTGGGGGTCATATAATAACTTTCATTATAACTAAATCTGCTGGTTAAAGGAAGATCGCTGGTTGGCTGGAAACAGTAGGAAATCAATTCCACACAATTTTCTGAATGTATCGGGAATGCAAAACCAGAAACTAGTTTCATTTGTTATAAAAATGTCAAGCCATTAGACCTTCACCCTTCCGGTCACACAGTTAAAGTCTAAGGCTTGTAAACACCATTTTCATAATCTTGTATAAGTTGTGCTCTCTTTATATAGTGCACACGTTTTCTCCATAAAATTTTAATTAATTTGATTAATGGTATTAATAGCTCTATTAGAAATAAAGAGACAAAATGCAGGATATACAAATAGACGTTCTGTTAAATAAATCCTTCCAAAAATATACAAATCCCTTTGCATTCCTTCATCTATTCCAGACATTTTGCTTTTCCATCATGAACTCGTCCTTAGAAATGTTTTGATCGGAATATTATATGCCGTTTTAAGAGGACATTCATGTGGTAATAATTTCACATTTGCCAATGTTGAGCTTTAAACCTGAAAATTTGGAAAAATAATTAATAATCAATCTCAATTACTTTAAAAATCTGGTCGAGACCTTTTAAAAACAATGTTTTTGTGTAAATGTACTGTAATATTACTATAAAATATTACATTGATAAGTGGCTAGATAGGATAAACAGTGTTAGGATCATGTTGTTCATTAAATGAGCGTTTCTTACTGACAAACAAACGAATGCTTCTTCTTCTGTATGTGTAATGTTTAATACTTGTATTTGTACAAAATGTATGTTGCTTGAATAAAAAAAAAAAATGCTTTTCTTATTATTATCAATGGTCCTTCACCTCTAGGATCATTAGCGCCACCTACCGGATGTTGTGATCTATATCCTAAACACGGCGGAAACGGAAGTGAGTCTTTGTTAAAGATGGCGACCCCCTATGTGACAGATGAATCTGGTAAAGCATTTCACATACAAACACACATTTCTCAGTAGATAGTCATACATTCCCATCGCCATGCAAGTTACTGACAATGCGCGGTGTCGTCCGTGTGTGTGTGTGTGTGTGTGTGTGTGTGAGAGAGAGAGAGAGAGAGAGTGTGTGTGTGTGTCTCGCGCTGATCGCGACACTAATGAAGCGTCCGAATCTTCTGCTGTATTTCTACATTCCGCGGCGATGCTCACAATAACAACACAAGAGAATATCTACAATAAATGACAATGATCATTTATATTATTTAGTGTAGTGTTTAACAGCATTATTTGTTATAATAATTATTAAATACTTTATGGAGGTAATTTCAGTAAGCAGTAAACGAGAGTTTTCAGTGTGTAGTAATGTCTTTAGATTCAGAGAAATCAAAGAGCTTTAAAATACTGAGTCTCGGCGTGTGTGTTTCTGTGTGTGTGTGTGTGTGTGTGTGTGTGTGTGTGTGTGTGTGTGTGTGTGTGTGTGTCTGTCTGCCTGTGTCTGTTATTGTCTGTGTGTGTGTGTGTGTCTGCCTGACTGTCTGTGTGCATGTGTTGTGTCTTTCTGGTGTGTGTTTGTTTGTCTGTGTGTTATTGTCTGTCTGTGTGTGCGTGACTGTCTGTGTGCGTGTGTGGTTGTCTGTGTGTGTGTTTGTGTGTTATTGTCTGTCTGTGTGTGCGTGTGTGTTGTGTCTGTGTGTTGTGTCTGTCTGACTGTCTGTGTGTGTTTGTGTGTTATTGTCTCTGTGTGTGTGTGCGTGTTTGTCTCTGTGTGTTATTGTCTGTGTGTGTGTGTGTGTGTGTGTTTGTCTCTGTGTGTTATTGTCTGTGTGTGTGCGCGTGTTTGTCTCTGTGTGTTATTGTCTGTGTGTGTGCGCGTGTTTGTCTCTGTGTGTTATTGTCTGTGTGTGTGTGTGTGTTTGTCTCTGTGTGTTATTGTCTCTGTGTGTGTTTGTCTCTGTGTGTTATTGTCTGTGTGTGTGTGTGTGTTTGTCTCTGTGTGTTATTGTCTGTGTGTGTGTGTGTGTTTGTCTCTGTGTGTTATTGTCTGTGTGTGTGCGCGTGTTTGTCTCTGTGTGTTATTGTCTGTGTGTGTGTTTGTCTCTGTGTGTTATTGTCTGTGTGTGTGTTTGTCTCTGTGTGTGTGTTTGTCTCTGTGTGTTATTGTCTGTGTGTGTGCGCGTGTTTGTCTCTGTGTGTTATTGTCTGTGTGTGTGCGCGTGTTTGTCTCTGTGTGTTATTGTCTGTGTGTGTGTGTGTGTGTGTGTTTGTCTCTGTGTGTTATTGTCTGTGTGTGTGTGTGTGTTTGTTTGTCTGTGTGTTATTGTCTCTGTGTGTGTGCGCGTGTTTGTCTCTGTGTGTTATTGTCTGTGTGTGTGTGTGTGTGTGTGTTTGTCTCTGTGTGTTATTGTCTGTGTGTGTGCGCGTGTTTGTCTCTGTGTGTTATTGTCTGTGTGTGTGCGCGTGTTTGTCTCTGTGTGTTATTGTCTGTGTGTGTGTGTGTGTTTGTCTCTGTGTGTTATTGTCTCTGTGTGTGTTTGTCTCTGTGTGTTATTGTCTGTGTGTGTGTGTGTGTTTGTCTCTGTGTGTTATTGTCTGTGTGTGTGTGTGTGTTTGTCTCTGTGTGTTATTGTCTGTGTGTGTGCGCGTGTTTGTCTCTGTGTGTTATTGTCTGTGTGTGTGTTTGTCTCTGTGTGTTATTGTCTGTGTGTGTGTTTGTCTCTGTGTGTGTGTTTGTCTCTGTGTGTTATTGTCTGTGTGTGTGTTTGTCTCTGTGTGTTATTGTCTGTGTGTGTGCGCGTGTTTGTCTCTGTGTGTTATTGTCTGTGTGTGTGCGCGTGTTTGTCTCTGTGTGTTATTGTCTGTGTGTGTGTTTGTCTCTGTGTGTTATTGTCTGTGTGTGTGTGTGTGTTTGTCTCTGTGTGTTATTGTCTGTGTGTGTGTTTGTCTCTGTGTGTTATTGTCTGTGTGTGTGTTTGTCTCTGTGTGTTATTGTCTGTGTGTGTGTGTTTGTCTGTGTGTTATTGTCTGTGTGTGTGTGTTTGTCTGTGTGTGTGTGTTTGTCTCTGTGTGTTATTGTCTGTGTGTGTGTGTTTGTCTGTGTGTTATTGTCTGTGTGTGTGTGTGTTTGTCTGTGTGTGTGTGTTTGTCTCTGTGTGTTATTGTCTGTGTGTGTGTTTGTCTCTGTGTGTTATTGTCTGTGTGTGTGTTTGTCTCTGTGTGTTATTGTCTGTGTGTGTGTGCGTGTTTGTCTCTGTGTGTTATTGTCTGTGTGTGTGCGCGTGTTTGTCTCTGTGTGTTATTGTCTGTGTGTGTGTGTGTGTTTGTCTCTGTGTGTTATTGTCTGTGTGTGTGTGTGTGTTTGTCTCTGTGTGTTATTGTCTGTGTGTGTGCGCGTGTTTGTCTCTGTGTGTTATTGTCTGTGTGTGTGTTTGTCTCTGTGTGTTATTGTCTGTGTGTGTGTTTGTCTCTGTGTGTTATTGTCTGTGTGTGTGTGTGTGTGTGTGTTTGTCTCTGTGTGTTATTGTCTGTGTGTGTGTTTGTCTCTGTGTGTTATTGTCTGTGTGTGTGTGTGTGTTTGTCTCTGTGTGTTATTGTCTGTGTGTGTGTTTGTCTCTGTGTGTGTGTGTGTGTGTTTGTCTCTGTGTGTTATTGTCTCTGTGTGTGTGTTTGTCTGTGTGCGTGTGTTATTGTCTGTGTGTGTGTTTGTCTCTGTGTGTTATTGTCTGTGTGTGTGTTTGTCTCTGTGTGTTATTGTCTGTGTGTGTGTTTGTCTCTGTGTGTTATTGTCTGTGTGTGTGTTTGTCTCTGTGTGTGTGTTTGTCTGTGTGCGTTTGTCTGTGTGCGTGTGTAATTGTCTGTGTGTGTGTGTGTTTGTCTCTGTGTGCGTGCGTGTGTGTGCGTGTTTGTCTCTGTGTGTTATTGTCTGTGTGTGTGTGTGTGTGTGTGTGTGTGTGTTTGTCTCTGTGTGTTATTGTCTGTGTGTGTGCGCGTGTTTGTCTCTGTGTGTTATTGTCTGTGTGTGTGTGTGTGTGTTTGTCTCTGTGTGTTATTGTCTGTGTGTGTGCGCGTGTTTGTCTCTGTGTGTTATTGTCTGTGTGTGTGTGTTTGTCTCTGTGTGTTATTGTCTGTGTGTGTGTTTGTCTCTGTGTGTTATTGTCTGTGTGTGTGTGTGTGTTTGTCTCTGTGTGTTATTGTCTGTGTGTGTGCGCATGTTTGTCTCTGTGTGTTATTGTCTGTGTGTGTGTGTTTGTCTCTGTGTGTTATTGTCTGTGTGTGTGTTTGTCTCTGTGTGTTATTGTCTGTGTGTGTGTTTGTCTCTGTGTGTTATTGTCTGTGTGTGTGTGTGTGTGTGTTTGTCTCTGTGTGTTATTGTCTGTGTGTGTGTGCGTGTTTGTCTCTGTGTGTTATTGTCTGTGTGTGTGCGCGTGTTTGTCTCTGTGTGTTATTGTCTGTGTGTGTGCGCGTGTTTGTCTCTGTGTGTTATTGTCTGTGTGTGTGTTTGTCTCTGTGTGTGTTTGTCTCTGTGTGTTATTGTCTGTGTGTGTGTGTGTGTTTGTCTCTGTGTGTTATTGTCTGTGTGTGTGTTTGTCTCTGTGTGTTATTGTCTTTGTGTGTGTTTGTCTCTGTGTGTTATTGTCTGTGTGTGTGTGTGTGTTTGTCTCTGTGTGTTATTGTCTGTGTGTGTGTTTGTCTCTGTGTGTGTGTTTGTCTGTGTGCGTGTGTTATTGTCTGTGTGTGTGTGTGTGTGTGTTTGTCTCTGTGTGCGTGCGTGTGTGTGTGTGTGTGTGTGTGTTTGTCTCTGTGTGCGTGCGCGTGTTTGTCTCTGTGTGTTATTGTCTGTGTGTGTGTTTGTCTGTGTGTGTTTGTCTCTGCGTGCGTGTGTGTGTGTTCCAGGTAAGTATATCGCCGCTACGCAGCGTCCTGACGGCTCCTGGAGGAAACCGCGGCGAGTGAAGGACGGCTACGTCCCGCAGGAGGAGGTGCCGGTGTAAGCGCTCGACCCACAATCCCTTGCGTCGAACACACAGTAGTGATGCGAGCGCTGACGTCACGAACCGCCAGTCACTCACGAGTCTCTCTGTTTCCTCAGATACGAGAACAAGTACGTGAAGTTCTTCAAGAGTAAACCGGACCTTCCGCCCGGCATGAACCCGGAGCCGGCGCTCGAGAAGCACAGCGATGGACTCTCCAGAACCGCCAAACGCAACATGAAGCGCAAGGAGAAGCGCAAGCAGCAGATCCAGACCCGGCCCGAGGAGGAGGAGGAGGAGGAGGAGGAGGAGCAGCGGGCCGTGAGCGAGGAGATGCACGCGATGAAGATCACAGAGGAGGAGGAGGAGGAGCGGGTGAATCCAGAACCAGAACCCGAAGCCTCGGACCCCACGGAGAGAGCCAAGAAGATCAAGAGCCTGCGTAAGAAGCTGCGTCAGGTGGAGGAGCTCCAGCTCAAGATCCGGTCCGGGGAACTGAGCAGTCCGACACGCGAGCAGCTCGACAAACTGGGGCGGAGCCAGGCCTTACGGGCGGAGCTACAGCTGCTGGGGGCGGGGTTATGAGGCTGTCAATCATCTGGGTGTGTGTGTGTGTGTGTCAGTCAGAGCTGTAACCGCTTCATTCTTGTGTTTTATACATCATGGAGACTCTCCGGACTCTCTCCGCAGATCCTGCAGGAGCGCTAATGGTTTCATCCGGAGCCGCGGGAGCTAACGCTAGTTACCAATGAGCCTCACTGACTGATGGACTGAATCTCATCATGATGTCAATTTTTTTACCACCGTAGTGCATAACTGCATGAAATAACAATGTGTAGAATTGTGTTATATTAAACATAGCATAACAAACTTCCAGTTCCGTGTCCCTGTATGCGCTAATATCGGGATTGTGAAGCGGACGTAAACACGCTTTCACTGCGGGAACAACAAACCTGGAGTCCAACAGATAGAGTCCAACAGATAGAGTCCAACAGATAGAGTCCAACAGATAGAGTTCAACAGATAGAGTCCAACAGATAGAGTCCAACAGATAGAGTTCAACAGATAGAGTTCAATAGAGTCCAACAGATAGAGTTCAACAGATAGAGTCCAACAGATAGAGTTCAACAGATAGAGTCCAACAGATAGAGTCCAACAGATAGAGTTCAATAGAGTCCAACAGATAGAGTTCAACAGATAGAGTCCAACAGATAGAGTCCAACAGATAGAGTCCAACAGATAGAGTTCAACAGATAGAGTTCAACAGATAGAGTCCAACAGATAGAGTCCAACAGATAGAGTTCAATAGAGTCCAACAGATAGAGTTCAACAGATAGAGTCCAACAGATAGAGTCCAACAGATAGAGTTCAACAGATAGAGTTCAACAGATAGAGTTCAACAGATAGAGTCCAACAGATAGAGTCCAACAGATAGAGTTCAACAGATAGAGTCCAACAGATAGAGTTCAACAGATAGAGTTCAATAGAGTCCAACAGATAGAGTTCAACAGATAGAGTTCAATAGAGTTCAACAGATAGAGTTCAACAGATAGAGTTCAACAGATAGAGTTCAACAGATAGAGTTCAACAGATAGAGTTCAACAGATAGAGTTCAATAGAGTCCAACAGATAGAGTCCAACAGATAGAGTTCAACAGATAGAGTTCAACAGATAGAGTCCAACAGATAGAGTTCAACAGATAGAGTTCAATAGAGTCCAACAGATAGAGTTCAACAGATAGAGTTCAATAGAGTTCAACAGATAGAGTTCAACAGATAGAGTTCAACAGATAGAGTTCAACAGATAGAGTTCAACAGATAGAGTTCAATAGAGTCCAACAGATAGAGTTCAACAGATAGAGTTCAATAGAGTCCAACAGATAGAGTCCAACAGATAGAGTTCAACAGATAGAGTTCAACAGATAGAGTTCAATAGAGTCCAACAGATAGAGTTCAACAGATAGAGTTCAACAGATAGAGTTCAACAGATAGAGTCCAACAGATAGAGTTCAACAGATAGAGTTCAATAGAGTCCAACAGATAGAGTTCAACAGATAGAGTTCAATAGAGTCCAACAGATAGAGTTCAATAGAGTCCAACAGATAGAGTTCAACAGATAGAGTCCAACAGATAGAGTTCAACAGATAGAGTTCAATAGAGTTTAACAGATAGAGTTCAACAGATAGAGTTCAATAGAGTCCAACAGATAGAGTTCAACAGATAGAGTTCAACAGATAGAGTTCAACAGATAGAGTTCAACAGATAGAGTTCAACAGATAGAGTTCAACAGATAGAGTTCAATAGAGTCCAACAGA